TCAATCAGTTTTTGCGAACTTGTAACGCTCGCATTAGCTATTTTTATGCAACACTCAATATTCGTGGACTTTTATTAGTTTGCAGGAGTTCGGCTCATAATGATTTAACAATTTCCAATCCCATCATGAATGATGTTTTTGCGCTAACCACACGAAAGGAGAGGACTAGTCTCCGATTATGGGTTTTCAAAGTAGGTTATATAGCGATCCCTTACGATTCTGTGTAATGAGGTTGTCAGCTTCTGCTTATTCTAATATCCTGTTACAGTTCGTTGACGTTGAAGATATTGAATCGTTTGGTGTATGTGTGGAAGGGTATCGACCCAATGATGAAACCGAAACTGTGCTTCGAAACTGGCACTCAACCACTATAGAGGTGAAGTTTTATAAAATACTTACTCTCATTATGATATCCTTATCCTTTTTAGAAACGAATAACGTCGACATTATTGCATTCACACAGCGGATCTGTTTATGAATTACGCGGTTCCATTGATAGGGATCTTGCATTTCAACTTGGTAAGAATTTAATATCCTCTTGATTCGCAGCTTTTGCCCACTTTTTCAAATTTCAGCGATTTTATCCAATTTGCTATCAGGGTGATTACAGATTTTTTTGTTTGAAGTTCCATAAACTGTCATACTTTGAAAAAGGCCCATATGGCATGAAATTTGCTATTATCGATGAAGCTTGTTTCTAAGTGCGAGCACTTTTTAAACTGACTAGAAAATAATGCTATGATACATCATTTGGCGTGAGATTATACAACTGAACTCGACAAGCAGCTACCTATGAAGGTACTAGCAGGACCATGAAGGATAAGAACCTTTCATAGAAGGTCAATTTGAATATGGCAGTGACCTGTAAAACTCATGCGCGCACCCAGTCTCCTCTTGTGAGGCTCAATTCGCATCATTGTCTCTTTTCCTCTCATTTTTAAAACTTACAAGCATGCTTGATCATTCTTTTTCTATAGGATATCCCGCCGAACTTATTGCCATGTTTGCTAATGGTTTTCCAGAAAATTGGAAAAGCACGCTAAAGGAGTTCTTCTATGTTGTGTTAGTTTCCTTACCTGCTATCTGATCAAAATTTTTAAAAGCCATTCTTTGCTAACAATGATTCTCTTCAGCAAAACTACAAACCCATTGAATGCGTCCCGCTACTTTAGTGTTATGGCTAGGAGAAGATCGTCAGGCCTGGTACGCGGGCACAATCAACTGT